GACTGGTTGATACTGGTTGGTGGTTTGGAACATGTGGTATTTTTCCATATATTGGGAATGTCATCATCCCAACTTTTCCGAACTCCATCATTTTTCAGAGGGGTAGGTATACCATCAACCAGATATAGTTATGAACCATCATTAACCATCATCATAACCATTAATATTAACCATATATTAACAGTACAACCACCCAGATTATGATTAACCATCATTAACCATATAATATCCATTGATATACATGTGACAAAAAGAAGACATGCCAAGGCTGCCAATGAACCACGATTTATATGATCATCCACCAAACATCACCCTAGCTTTTTGGCCTCCAAAATGAAGAATTCCAATACGAAATCAGGTTTTCATTGGAACACCAGAAAAACTACCATATAGCCTCTGGTAATTTAACATAGCTATGGAAAGATCCACCATTTTCAATGGGTAAATCCACTATATATGGTCATTTTCAATAGCTATGTTAAATTACCAGAGGGTAGCGGATATAGCGGCAACAGAAAGTCGCAGCTTGATTTCGGAAATCATCCAGCAAAACTACCGGGAATATCCTAAAATAGGCGTACCATGGGTTACCCCAAAATCACCCCAAAATCACCACGGGTTTTGTCATTTTCGTGTTGAATCGCATGGTTTTTTTTAGGGCCAATGGGCCAACCATGTCAGGAGTAGCTTTCAGGCTGAGGCAACTGGGTGGGTCATGCCGTCATGCCCTACACCAAGATGACCAAGATGGCATTGGTGAGCGTGACTGTCCAGGATCTGTTTTCACTCTATTCAAACCTGTGCTATGTCAAAGGAGAGCCACTTTTTTCCATCTTTTTTCACATAGCCGACATAGCTTTGAACATCCAAAAATCGGGCACCACCAAACCCCAATTCCACATGTTTATCATTGTTTTCAACTACATTTTTGGGGGTCTACCATTTTCACATCCACATCAACGGTTAATTTTCCACACTTTTCAGTCTGCGAGTCGACCTTCGGGTGTTTGACATGGCTCAGACGTGGCTTTCCACGGATCCATCATGCCGTCTTTCGAATGGTCTGGACCCTGCAACCACACCTGGCGCGACGCCACAGTCGACCTGAAATCAGATTTTTCAAATCAGATGTTTCATTGAATTCATTTTCATGGGGGGTCAAACTGGTTGCATAGCTGGTTGGTGGTTTCAAACATTTTTTTCTTTTTCACAATATATGGGATAATCCTTCCCATTGACGAACTCATATTTTTCAAGATGGTTATTGCACCACCAACCACAATGTGAGGCCCCATAGTTAGCTAAGTTGGTTTATAACTCCCATAACTATGGTTTATGGCAGATATAACTATAGTTAATGGGGTTTATAAACCAACTTATAACTGGGGGGCACCATCCTGCAGTATGCTAATGTTTCATGGAACTGAATTTTTAGCGACCAATAGTTGTTTTTTTTTGGCGCCCTGAATGAAGCCCCGAAGGAGTGTTTTTTTTTTAATACCAGGAAATAGCTTATGTTTACACCCTGGTAAACATACAAAAAGCGATGGAAAATCACCATGTTTAATGGGTAAATCCACTATAAATGGTCATTTTCAATGGTAATTTGTTACAGTTTGCTATGGAAAATGGAGAAATCATGAGAAATCCAAAAAACAAACAGGAAATCAGATCTACTCAGCTGAATATTTGGCTGGGAAATCGCATATTTTTGGGAGAGAAAAACTGTAGGAAACTACCGCAAGGGACACCGATTGAGATCCATCGAAGAGGGCTGTGGTCATCCCTTATTTTTGGGCACACTCGCATCGTTTATCGATGATATCTAATCTTCCTGTTTGACGCTTACAGGTAAGTTCAAGTGAGCACTGGATATCACAAGAAAAATAATATTCAGATCACCCATGCCGCTTGCTGGTTTTGTGGGCTTATGCATACACTACAATACCGAAATCTTACCAGGCAGAGTTGAAAAATGTTGAGAATGTGTCACCATCAAAGTTACAATTATTCTATAACTCCCAGCCTCCGAATCCGTTGAACACAACAGTTCGAGATAGTGAGAAAGCATTTGCTAGAATGATGTATATCATTTTATATCCATTGGTGATTTTTCACATGTTTCTTGTGAAAAATCGCAAGCAATTTTTCATCGTTTCTTGATTCAATCCCCCCATTTCGATCCATGGATTGTTGATTGAACATGATGAAATCAACGCCGTTTTTTTTTTTTCGCATGGCGACAAAAAGAAAAAGAAAACAGTTGGGATGCAACCCCTGTAACTACGGATATTATCTGGTTACCTGGTTTGGAACCTGGCTTTTATGACTGTCCATATGTTGGTAATGTCATCATCCCAACTGATTCATATATTTTTTCAGAGGGGTAGGGCTCAACCACCAACCAGTTATGGCTATAGACCTCATCAATTTCTTGAAGCTCCACTGTTATTGCTTTAACATCGCTGAATCTCCCGAGATTTCTCGAACGGAACAAGGTCGTCCCCGCGCGGGTCCGTCCGAGCGGCGAGCCGGTGAGCTTAGCTGATTTACCCTCCGCGTCATTTGATGGTGAGCTCACCTGGGAAGCTGATGAGCTGCGTCTGAAAGCCGCAATCCATTGGAAGTTCTCCCGGAACTTCTCCCGGAACAAGCAAATCACCAGCGAAAATACAGCGGAAACACGGTCAACGCAGTTGCGGAAACACGGCCAAACAGTGCGGAATATATCACAATAATAGTGTACTTTACTATAGATAGTATAATTAAACATGAACCATTTTATTAGTCTTATTAACAACAAGACAGGAGGGATGAGGCCATGTTTCAATACTAATCAAATGAAATCATATTAAATGACCACGAAATTGTGTATTAATTTCAACTTGATCTAGCCACAATGTGGCTTTTAACCACTGAACATGAGGATTCAATCGATACACTATTCCTGGTTGTGTGCTAATATATATATATATATATACACAGATAATATATATATATATATATTTGTCCCCTAATATTTTACATACCCTTCAATGGGACACCAAAATGAACAAATAATAAGTACTAAATCAATCTAGATCATGCTTTCGGGGTGCTAGTCAACATCAGGGGGCTGGGAGAGAACCTCTACCCGGAATGGAAAGATGAGCTACGCCAAGCTCGACGTGTTTTATTTGCGTGGTATGCAACATTCGCCATGCTTTTGGACCAAGCAAACAGATCACTAAAAACCCACACGGACATCTATATATCACCACATTTTTCATCATTCTACCATCGATACCATGCACAAAAATACATTCCAAGTTAATCTTGATGGGAAACAGGTGACACCACCCAAAATGGTGAGCTCAGTAGCCAAAGCACCGTGCACCGTGGCAAAAAGTTGCCACCAGTCTTCCGCTTCCGGCATATTGCATGGCCTCCCCCTTCTGCGCCGGACACATTGAAAGGTCATCTCGGTGTTGGCGCGGAGATTTTCAGGGTCATGCAGGACGACCATGTCCGGCGTTTCGCCAAAATGTCAGGGCGGATCCCAGAAAAAGAGCCGCGCGCAAGCAAGCGACGAGTTTTGGATCCAAAATGGGCTGAATGAGTTCTTTCTGATGATTTGGGGAAGTTTCGTAAATTGTGTATTAGTTACATTCAATACCTATATCTAGATCTATATTATTATCTATAGCTATCTCTCTACATATGTATATGTATATATATATGTATATATATATATATCTATATCTATATATCTATACATCTGTATATATATATATATAGATCTATATATATTAATATATATATATATCTATATCTATATATCTATCTATATATATATGTATCTATATTTATATAGATATATATATATATACCTGTAACTATCTATCTATCTATCTATCTAACTAACTAACTAACTAATCTTATCTATCTAATCTAATCTAATCTAATCTAATGTAATCTAATCTAATCTAATCTAATCTATCTATCTATGTGTAGTACACATATAAATATGGCATTATGGCATGTCATGGCCCAATCGGATGCGGTAGCAACGGACCCACCTCTTTGAATCTATCTTCTGAGATCTATTAGCTATTAATTTCTGCCCGGGAGGCAGGTTATATCAGGTTATCCTACATATATGATAATATAATAATATATACGTATTTATATCTGATATATGATTATATGTATATCTGATATATGATTATATGTATATCTCGATATCAGTGATTCAGGATGGGAATACTTATAAGCCAAGCATTTGAATATGATGGGATGAGACTTTCTTCATTGCTCCGCAGTGGGTCCTCAACAGCTCAGCCTTTACGTCAAGCCACTGCAGATGTTCAGTGATCCAAAAGCAAGCAATAGTACCATGGGATAGAGACGGAATGATACGGGCGAAGGAGACTTAAAATGGGATTCTTCTACTGATTCATAGTTGACGAATGGAAGTACTTCTGCAATAAACATGTTTGAATTCATAGTTGGAATGCACATAATTCTGGTGAATTCTTGTGAAACCATGCTTTTGAACATCATATTCTCCATGATCATTGCCATTTGGTTTTTTTTCCCCCATCTCTGGATAAAGCTGGATAAAGCTGCAGCTCCATCCGTTAGGATCCCCAGAGCCGAAAATATGTTCATCCCCTTTTGTTTGCCTCCGAAACACCCCATCCGTTGACCATTCCAGTTTGTGATATCCTGCTGACTAACTGTTAAGTCTCTTTTTGTTACTTTTTCGGGCAGCGCTTTTCACAGATCTGAAGAGAATGTACCCTCTGGTAAACGTTAACAAAAAACTATGGAAAGATCCACCCATTTTATAGCTGGGACAATCCACTATTTCAATAGCCATTTTCAATAGCAAACTGTTAGTTTATCCATTATCAACCATTATATATCATAAACCAATGTTAACCATATTAACCATTATAAACCACTATAAATAGCCATTTTCAATAGCTATTTTGACATAACCAGAGAATGCAGCGCTGAACACGTCAGCTCTTGGAGCAATGGCCCATGATCTTTGGTGCCCAGGAGGGCCAAGACTTTTTAGTCGGACTTTTGGGTCGTTGGCGAATGTGACTTAAGTAGAAAAAATAGCAATGGAACATGGGATAACATGGGTTTGTAGCCTAAAATCTGCTGAAAAATGTTTTGATTAGTAATAAGCATGTGACCTATTCAATTGTCATTTCGGGGGTATCCCGCATTTTCAGACACTAAATTAAAGTCATGTAAGAATTGACTTGGAACTTTGTTACGATGACGAAACTGGGGGTTATGGAAAAGGACGTCAGAAATGAGACCAGATGGATCGCATTTTCGACCAGAGTGTGCTGTTGTGTCCAGTGGATGAAGTGGGACTTAACAACTGGTAGGTGGTTTGGAACATTTTTTATTTTTCCATATATATATAGGGAATAATCATGCCGACTGACTTTCATATTTTTCAGAAGGTTGAACCCACCAAACAGATTATCACATATTATCACTAATGTTTATAGTTTCTAGGTACATGTAATATCCTAGTTGGTCAACATATATACCAGAAAAATGATGAAGCTTTGTTGCATCCGACGATCTTCGCCAACATTGGCAGCACATTTCCTCTGACCAAATCGAAAGCCGATGCCATAAAACTGCCATCAACGGATGGATGGTTACTGATAACCTGGGGATGATAAAAATGGCAGTGAATCCCAGAAAAAAAGAACAATTGATGTCAGTTGTTAGCCACTACTGTATTAGCCATTCTTGACCATAATCTTACACAAAAATATTCTTCTTCTTCTATTTTTTTCTTTTTCTTCTTATTATGATGATTATTATATTAATACAATTATTAAACCATCACCCATAGGATCCATGTATGCTATATATGGTAACATGGATCCCATCAATATACCCCAAATGTTAGCATATATACCAGCAGCATGGATCCTGTGGGTCATTATTGGCTTTACCCTCTGGTAATTTAACATAGCTATGGAAAATCACTGGTTTTAATGGGTAAATCCACTATAAATGGCCATTTTCAATAGCTATGTTAAATTACCAGAGGGTACCCAAAATCCAGCATTTCCAACGAAAGCTGTGTCATACCCTGCCAGGTTGACCAGTGGCACACCTGGAGCATCCCGATCATCCCATGCGAAGAGGTGAAGGCCATGGGAAACCCATGGGAATTGGATGCTTCGCAATCTGGCTTTATATGAATTTCATACTTTTATATATGGATTCTATATGGATTCTATATGGACTCTATATGGATTCTATATGGATTCTATATGGATTCTATATGGAATACATATGTATATGGATTTTATATATGGATTTTATATGAAATTTATATGGATTTTATATGGATTCTATATGAATTATATATGTATATGGATTTTATATATGGATTTTATATATGGATTATATATATATGGATTTTATGAAATTTATATGGATTCTATATGGATTTTATATGATTATATATATACATGGATTATATATATGGATTTCATATGATTTGGCAATTGAAAAATGGGGAAATTGAACCAGTGAATTTATGGGATTTACGATCTGGTAAACTAACACTTTGCGAACTGGAAAATCACCATTTTTTTTTCATGGCAAATTTAACGAACTCAGTGGCCATTTTCAATAGCAAACTGTTAAACTACCAGAGGATATTTCATGAAAACTTTGAAAATCACATGGCTATGGGCCAAAACCTTGGTACCTTAGGTAGCCTAAAGTTGGTAACCAGCTGGATGGTTAGTCCCCCATCGTAATTTCCATAGGTTTTGACCAGCCTAGGCCTACTGGATGATCCATGGATTTTGGGTGACTTAGGGGACCTCCCATGGTTATTTTTCATATCTAATTGAAGTGAAAAATGGCTTTATTTTTAATGTCCCTTAAAAATGCTGCTGTTCACAGCAGCCCAGAAAATCTTTATTGCTGAGGGCGTTTTCCCCAGTGTTTGTTGGTTAAATCCTGTAGCTTACCCTCCAATGATCTCTTCCAGGATTATGTTTCATCATATCACTCATTCCAGCAACTTACCCTACACTATTTTCATGCCCGGCAAGAAAACTATTGGAGACGCGGCCCCGAGACAAAACAGTGCTTTTTGGGATGTTTAACAAAATTCAACAACATCTTTTAATCTCAGAATTGGTTAAAGGAAAACCCACATACCTACCTACAGTTGGGTTTAAAAACCATGAAGCCCTGTAAAGCGCTCCTTTAACTCGACAGCTGCGTCCCTGCTGCCTGGAAAAAAAATAAGCTAACATCCCTTGGAATTTTGGGGCGATCATTGGTTGGTTTTATCATGTTACCAGGTGCCTAAAAACTGCCCTTTTTGTTTTTCCATCAGGCACAACCTGTTGATCCCAACTGACTCAATCATATGTCTGGGTAAATTATAACGACCTCACTGCGACCGAGCCCTGGAATCATGGTGAATGTTAGGGAAATCATCCCAAAATGGCCTTAATTCAGGTTAGTGAATTATTATAATTTACCCTGATCACTAAGGCACAGCCATACAGATATCACATGGTAATTCCTGGACCATCATATCTCAACATGTTTAATCAATTTTTCATATCATTTCATGGTGATTCACAGGACTCTTTTTTCCAATATTTAGATATATTTAGATAGAATATAATATCATTCAATACATTTCTATAGTTTAGATACATTTAGATACCGTATTTCAGTATATTGCCACGTTCTTTTTCGCCCTAAAGTGTCCCAGAAAAACGGCAACGGCAACCCCGTTGCGCCGGGGTTTGGACTCCGAAGGCCCTCTTGGTGCAGCAGTTTGAAGAGGGCTTGAGCTACCTGGAGGAGACGAGAGATTGACCTAACGAGTTCGGAGTTGGAAAGGGAGCGACCTGACCACCAAAACTGGGGATTTAACCACCAAAAAATTGGGATTTCACATGACTTAACCACCAAAAAAATGGGATTTGACATGACTTAACCACCAAAAATATTGGGATTTAACCAACAAACTCAGATACCTTCAGCTTCAGAAGAGGGTCCAGGTACAGGTATCGGAACCAAAGTAACAGAAATGGGTTTGGTACAGGTGAAACTAAACCACTGAAATGTTTGACGATTTTCTGTACTTTTTGGGGTTAAACATGTCTTTTTTTGGCTTCGCATGGCTAGTGGTTTTGGATTTACTACTTGTTTATCCCGGTCAAACAATGCAGCTGCTAGACTAGACTTAATCCATTTGAGGAGTTGCTGGTTATCCCCCTATAATACCACCCAAACAAGATAACACAGAATGGCATCTGACTGAAATAGTAGTGATCACCAACTTTTCTATTATTTTTTGTGTTACTATTCCATCAACAAAAATCCCAGTATGCATGTCTTCCCCAACCCACCTGGCATCTTGTGGCTGGTCACTCCCCCATCAACAGGACCTCAAGTATGGCCTCCACGACCACTTTGTCCACATGGTCGCCAATGTCGGGACCTCAAAAGAGCAGATCGCCACGTTTGATCGCAATCCTCCGGAGTTGTACGGAAAAAACACGTTGATGGAGACTATATATATGTATATATTTATATATATACTGTATCCCAATAGTCATGGGGGGTTCCATAGTCATGGGGGTAATAGCTGGATGGTTTCTAATGGAAAATCCGATTAAAATGGATGATTTGGAGGTATACCCCCATTTCAGGAAGCCCCAAATGAAGAACAACTGTTCTTTTGTTCGGGTTCTAAGGAGGATTTGTTTTCCTGTTTCCGATCCTTCCGGCGGCAGTGCTTGGGGAGATCCCTGTTGTTTGCGGTTTGTCTCCAGATTAGCCATGGTGCCTTCTGGGCGTGTTGAAAAACACATGGCAAGATGACTTGTGTCGCATACGCATTGGAATCTATTGGAATCTGTGTTCTTCGCATCCCAGGGGCTTGGCCTGGTCAAATTCAGAAAACAACATCCATCAATGGTTTTCTTTTTTTCAGAACTTCTGAACTTGTTGATCTCTAACATTCTATTCAGAACTACTTAACACGGTGATCTATTCAGCGACTCTTAAGCATGCAGGTTGGACTCAGCATGTTTTTTTTTTCGATAGGTTTTTCAGGGATTCCCCAATCATCGAGACGCCCCCATTTCATTTTGATATTTAAAGCGACCATGGTAAAAAAGGTATAGAAATGCCACCTCGAAGTTGAAAAACCTAGAAATGGATAGAAATGGATCACTTGGATTAATTCCAGCCCTACTTTGGATGGTCTGATTATCACTATAGATTCCTTTCTTGATCCTCAGTCCAAACCAGCCTGGTCTGGCCAGGCCACTTCTTCGCAGGCGCCACAGAGAGGGTAAATTGCCTCATTCTACCAGGTGAAAACTCACCAAAGAAACAAAAAGAGGTGTTTACTCCTGGGTAGTTCATGGGAGTGCCAAACTTCTAGGATTTCTATGGATTTCTTAGATTAATTAATCACAACAGCATGCATTCTGGAAACACATGTCCGATGTGACTTTCTCAATTCGTGCGCACAGCACAGCACGGAAATCGACCTCTCTAACATGACTGATGAGCAAAGGCATGGAAAACCCTGAGAAGGTTGATTGACCAAGAGCCAAAAAAATGATTAAATGATATTAAGTGATATTAAATGTCCAAGTTGCGACATGGTGTGCTGAGTGCTGGATGTCCCAAGGTGTGAAGATGCTTTAGTGCTGCCGTCATGGCTGTCACATGAATTTTTTCTCCACAATCTCCAGATCGTCATTTTCCCAGTGCCAGTATTTGTGACCCCAACTTTGATATGGAAGACAAACTTGGCCATATCCCAGTGCGGACCATCAAAATCGATAATCAATGAATAATATATATAATAATATATAATAGTCAATGAATGATCTATTATAATATATATATAGTAATATATATAATAATCAATGAATAATATATTATAATATATATATATATACTCATGTCGTGAGGTCACTGGAATCATGGGAATTGGATTCGGGGAATCCCAAAATGGCCCAAAATCTCCTCTTATTTCAGACCATTTGTAGGTCATTTTTCCTAGGGACACCATGGTTTTCTCCACATCTATATTAGTTTTCCATAGGGTATGTATATATATATATATACATATGTATGTATATATATATATGTATATATATGTATATACATCTATCCTCATGCTTCATCCCATTTTTCTCCTCGTGGCTTGTTGGATTTGTCGGCGAGGTGCTCAAGTCGTGGCCCTGGTGGACCTTTTTGGGTCCCGTGGCGCCGCAGATGTCCAGCATCTTCAACGCGCAGGCTTTGCCAACTTGGGGGATTTTCAGTCGTCACAGGCGGGGTCACTAAAATGCTCTAATGACTTGGGAAGTCAGCATAGAAATCGTGGATTTACTATAGAAATTCAGAAACTTATGGAATATTCATCATTATCTATAATTGTTAGTAATGGATAAACATGATTAATAACCATTGATAATGGTTAATACTGAATATATAATAATTTTTAATAATGGATAATAATGGATAATAATGGATAATAATGGATAATAATGGTTAATAACCTATAAACTGATTTGATAGTTACCCTCTGGTAAACTAACTGTTAATAATGGTTAATAATGGCAAATCATGGTTAATATTGGTTTATAATGGTTAATATTGGTTTGTAATGGTTGATAATGGATTAACTAACAGTTTGCGAACTTGAAAACATGGCCCATTTAGAAATAGTTTATTTACCTATTAAAGATGGTGATTTTCTATAGCGAACTGTTAGTTTACCAGAGGGTACCACCATCTTTGGAAACCTCCAAATGAATATCATAGGATATGAATATAGTCATAGAACATCTTTGTGGAATATTAAATATAATTACTGTAATTGGATATATGCTACTGGTGATTTTCATCAGGGTTGCTCCAGCCGCAAGCGGGTGGAAAGAGGTGATTTTACTATACATGTTTCCCATTTTTTTCCCATGGAAAACCTGGGGTGTATGGGGCAACCCTGCTAAAAATGGTGACGCATGGGGTCCTTAGAATGGGAACAATACACATTGGCGTATTTTATACCATTTATAAATGTTGATTTCGATGTTGGTTTAACCAACATTTGGTGGATACAACAAACAAAGTCGATTTACCCCAGGATTCACAAATGGTTTTAAACAATGTTTTTTCCCCAACAATAATGGGAGGGAGGTAAAAAAACAAAGATTCTAGGAGGATATATAAATATAAAGTGGGGTTACACTGGGATGTATTCATACTTTTGATCATAGTATAATCAAAAGTATGAAACAATACAAGATTTGGGTGTGGCACGACATGGTGTGCCCCAAAGTAGCAATCTGGGGAAGGGGAAATCGAGGATAAACCGATGATAAACCAATGGATCGATATGTGCCACTTAAAACATGATGATTTCCCCATAAAAAGGCTTCGCCATCCCTTCATTACTAGGAGGTACCAAAAAGCCATGAAAAGGAATCCCATTCGTCTGGGATGACCATACCGAGGATGTTCACCAACAATGGGGGATCTTGGTCATCTTGGTCACCAAACATAACTGTTGGATGTACCAACTGCAGCAGATTGGTTGATAGATTCTTGGGCTTATCAGCTTGCTTTCTCCATCAAAAGCCATAAAATCGGGATCACAAAAATAACGACCTCACGTTGTGACGTCACTAGAATTGGAATGGGAATGGGATTGGGATTAGCCACAAATCGCATTGTTTTTCAGGTTGGTGACTTATTATCTGGTTGGTGGTTTGGAACATTTTTTATTTTCCATAATATATGGGATGTCATCCTTCCCATTGACGAACTCCATCATTTTTCAAGATGGTTATTGCACCATCAACCAGCCATTATTAACCATTATTAGCCATCATTAACCATCATTAACAATCATTAAATCACCATTAAATCACCATTCTGATCTTCCCTCTGGGGATTTAAGATAGGTATGGAACATCACCATTTAAAAAGGGTGAACCGTCTGTGGATGCACCACCAAAATCCCCCAAAAAGTGTGTTGCTGAAAATTTCCTGTTCATCACCACAAAATCCCGTTGAATCACCATAAATCCCGTTAAACCACTATAAAATTACCGTGAATTCACCATAGAATCACCAGATTTCTTGGGAGGCGGCCCTGTGTGCGAGCTCCAGATGCTGTCAAAAATGGCCTTTGGGCGAGGCAACTGAACCCACCAAACCTGATGGTTAGGATTTAGCATGATTTAGCCATTGATCAATAGGGATTTAGCCATTGAAAAACAAGAATTTAGAGGATTTCACATGATTTCACATGATTTAATCATTGACATTCATAGGGATTGATAGGACTGATAGGAATTGATATGGAAAACCATGGATGGACCATCATGGGATTATTGGGATTTATAGGGTTGAACCGAGTTGAACCATTGATGGTTTGTTTTATTTTCTTACCATCGATGGTTGATGATGGTTTTATGATTCTTTGGGAGTCTTTGGGGGTCTTTGGGGAAATTTAACATGAAAATCCACCATCAACAACGGGGATTATGATGGGGATATGGTTGATAATCCTCCAGTAATGAAACATGGCTGGCAGAGAAATCCCCGTAAAAGGAGGTTTCAAGCTGGCAAAACTATCGAACTAAATGATGGATTTTCCGGCAAGCCATGTTTTACTACCAGAGGATATGTCTGATTTGGAAATACTGCCCGGATGATTGGATGCTAAGATAGAAGATATTGCCCATATATTGTCTTTATTCATTTTGCACTTGATCAAATAGAAGATCCACATGTGATCAGTGAGGACCGACGTGTGACTGGAGCTACTTTTGCGGACTGTTCTACGGACACAGAGTCTATCTTCTGTTTGATGCATCTTCTATGTGTTTTGAGGGTTTCAATAGCTTCATCTTAGTGGATCCTAGTAAGTATATATATATACCCTGGTAATTTAACATAGCTATTGAAAATGGCCCATTTATAGATGATTTACCTATTAAAGATGGTGATTTTCCATAGCTGAGGGTATGTACATTATATATATATACAGATATGATACTGTAGTATGTAATGTCAACTCTGGACTAAGAGGTGGGCTGTGGATCAATAAGGTGGTTTCATTTTAGTAGCAGATGATATCGCAATTTGGGGTGACCCCCTTTGTCAACCAGGGCTTTATTATTTTCCTTCATTATTTTCCTTCATCGACATTATTTTCCACCGAGGTCGACATTATTTTCCTTCATCCATGACTTTCCAACAGCCCAATGTCCCAATCTGACCATCATCCAATGTGTTAAAAACCCTCTGTCGTTCCTTTGTACCGCTTGGCCAATAGGATTTCCCATAGCGGGTTATGATAATCCTCAGCACAAATATTTTGAATAGTATACTGATAGTATATGGATTATACATATTGGATAGTCCCATATATATTGGATTATATATTGTGATAGTCCCCAAAATATATAATGAATAGTATAATCCAATTGAATATTATATTTGGGGACTGTATGAATATACAATATCACATTTAAAATCCAAGAATAATGATAATGTATCACTATACAATATATTGAATATTATACTGTCACCCCATCTATACAATATATTGAATAGTATACTGTCACTGTCACCCCATCTATACAATGTATTGAATAGTATACTGTCACTCCATCTAATCAACCAGGGTCTAGAACACTGCTCAAATGGAATGGAGAGTTGGTAGTATATGCAAACAAATGTGGTAAGCCCAGGTACAGTTATATCTATATAATGATATAAGCACTCTCCAATAGTAGTTGGTTAATGAGTGTTAAGTCAAAACATCCCCAATAGTAGTTGATATAAAACATCCCCAATAAAACATCCTCAATCGTGGTATAGTTATATCTAATATAGTACTAGGATAGTTACATCCTTTATGTAATCATAGTAATAGGAGGATATATCTAAATCTTGGATAGTACAATAGGATACTAATGAGTATAAGCCCAGTAAAACATCCCAAATAGTATAGTACCAACAGTACTAGTTGGTATTACCACCCCACATAGATCTCCGGTCACCGCGGCAGATGCTGCTTTCCTGGCAGAGAGCGCAGGCCTGACTGGCTGGATAGCTATGGAAAATCACCATGTTTCATAGGTAAATCAATCTTTTTCTATGGGACATGTTCAATAGCTATGTTAAATAACCAGAAGATAGTCCTTGGGGTACCCACTGGTAATCAAACATAGCAGCTGGACATTTTTCCTCCATCTAGTCCGGCGATTTTCCTCCAAATTAACACTTTGACCTTGCCACTTTTTTGGGGGGTTGGAAGATGACTCTCCACAACAAATGGTCAACTCCCAGGGTATGCGTCAATTTGGAGGAGGCTATATGCCTGATGATTGGTTAATATAGTAGGGTTATATGAATTGTATTTAATTGTGTTATTGGGGATTATGAACTAGCCCATACCGGGGATAGCTATTTGTCAAGCCCAATGATGGCATGGGATAGGGTTATTTTTCATGGCTCAGATCTTGCTACAACTGGCGAAGTGTTTTGGAGCTGGGGTATATCCCAAGATACGCTAGTTATAAGGTGTAACATCCCGCCAACCACTTGGCTAACAGTAAGTAGCATCTAAGTACAATATCTACAATTGAAAAGTTTCAAAACTCCTGGATTTTGTTGATGATTTGTTCGGTGGTTATAGTATATACATAAAATTTTGGTACTCCATGAACTGATTTGTTTTTCGGGTTATAGTATGCAATACATATATTGATTGAGGGCTATCATACTCCATGAATTGGGAGAGCCCATCAAGCAATGGGAATTCCAGGATCCTAAAATGGAGGTACTGTACCATATGTTTGGCCATATTTTGGGGGTATATCTCCTTAGATAGGCCTGAAAAATAGGCCTTATATATGGTAGGTACCTCAATTTTAGGATCCTGAAATTCCCATTGATTCAAGCAACCATGGTTTGGGATTTTCCAGGAGGCCCTTGACACTGCTCCATTGGCTTTCTGGTGAGGGCTGCCAGGATCTCCACTCGGTCCATGACAAGATGAGATGAATTGCTGCCGTACCCTCTGGTAATTTAACAGTTCGCTATTGAAAATGGCCATTTATAGTGGATTTTCCCATTAAAAATGGTGATTTTCCATAGTTATGTTAGTTTACCAGAGGGTAAATCATGCATTCAGAGGTTGGGCTTCTGTGCCATTCTGCCGACATGACCTGAAACTTCGGAGCACCAGCAAAAGTGGAGTTTTCCTATGTTTCTTTGCGCATTCAAAGAAACATTTTCTGAGAGCTTGCGCTTGCGCATTCAGAACATCTAGGCCATCTTCGAGAGTTGCCCAACATATACCCTCTGGGAATTTAACATAGCTATTGAAAATGGCCCACTTATAGTTGATTTACCTATTAAAAATGGTGATTTTCCATAGCTATGTTAATTTACCAGAGGGTATTGGGTGGAATGATTAAAAACCATAAAATTCAATGAGAATCGTCACCGATATACATCTGGAATTTCTGCACCTATCCTCCCAGAGATGGTGATTTTTTTTGTGGTTTCTGCCTTGGATAGGAGAAGATGAACTTGCTGCTGTGGCTGGGAACCTTTCATGGTGTCTCGTTCTCAAATTCTGGGATACTGCGAAACGGGCCTGATTTTGCAATTTCAACATGGAAAGTTGTGTGTGTGTGTGACCTTGGGGTGTACCCTCTGGTAATTTAACAGTTCGCTATTGAAAATGGCCCACTTATAGTTGATTTACCCAGCTATAAAATGGTGGATCTTTCCATAGTTTTTTGTTAACGTTTACCAGAGGGTACTGCGAAAAGGGCAATTTCGTAGTGAAAACAATGATGGTCCATTGGAATTGGGCATAGACATTGGGTTCCATAGAATCCACTAGTTTTTTTTTTTTCGCGAGCAATTGGTTGGTTCCAGAATGTTTCAATCATTGAGTATACCGGTAAACGTTTACATAACTATGGAAAATCACCATTTTTAATGGGTAAATCCACTATAAATGGCCATTTTCAACAGCTATGTTAAATTACCAGAGGGTACTGTCCATCCACCAAAACAATCTGGCGCCATCTGGCGCCCAAATTCGAGCAGATAAAATTTGGGACTTGGGTGGCTGCCCATCGATGAGATAAAAATTAAGTCGGTTGAACCGTCTATGATTCTTCCTTGTTACTAGTATGGCCACGTTTTGGTTGGTAGCCCTCTGGTAATCAAACATAACTATGGAAAATCACAATTTTTAATGGGTAAATGGCAATTTTCAACAGCGAACTGTTAAATTACCAGAGGGCAACCCTCTGGTAATCAAACATCGCAACAAGCAATGAACAACTTAACTATTTGCAGGCGGTTTTGCTTGCTGATTTGACTTTGTATGGTTCATGGCTGGATATACCGTGACATACCGTGATGGATTATCAATCCTTGTAGGTGAACATTCTTATTTCGTTGTCATTACATAATATATAGTCACAATGTGAGGCCCCCAAGATAGCTAAGTTGGTTTATAACTCCAGTAACTATGGTTTATGGTATTTATAACTATAGTTCCTGGGGCTTATAAACCAACTTATATCTTGGGGGCCTCACATTGCAATATATAGTCAATATTTAGTGGGTGAAACCCCATTGTGGCCCCTTTCGCCCAATGTTGCTGGTGATGAATTCCAAGTTTTTTCGTCATCTTTCCGTTGTGAAAATCCCTTGGTTTCCCCTTCAAGGCAGTATGGTTCTGGCTCCAGACACTGTGGAGGGGCGCTTCCTCCAAGGCAGACATCGGATATTCATTGAATGGTGGTTAAAATGATGGGGATAAAACGCTGGTATATTGGGATGATATACTAGTTTAATAATGGGTTTTTCTACTTGTAATCCAACAACATGATATATTTAAGGGTTGGTCGGACACTGCTTTTGCACCCTCTTTCAGACGAACCTTAGGGTTGTGAAACCCGCCATTCTTGGGAAGATGATCTCCACTTGCTGGTCGCAGGTCACAGGTTTTCCATCAAGTACCCTCTGGTAATTTAACGTAGCTGTTGAAAATTGCCATTTATAGTGAGTTTTCCCATTAAAAATGGTGATTTTCCATAGCTATGTTAGTTTACCAGAGGGTAGATCTGGATGATGATCTGCGATAGCAGGATGTTTTGCCTTGCTTAATTAGGTTTCCAAGGAAAACAACTACAGGAAATTACGATTTTACCCTTCAACTATGGGCAGTTCCTGCCATTTTCTTTTAAAGAAACCTACTCTGGGATATATGATTGGACATATTATTTTTTATTAGTCACTATTCATCCCTAAATGATCCTAAATGACTGAACTTTTTAGGTTGGTGGCTTGTGGTCATTTATCCGGAAATCTGAATTTAGATGGAAGATCAGTCAGATCTCGCGGCAACAACGCTTTCCAGCTAACCCCGCCCAGAGATTATTTGATGTAGGGACCCTCATTGGTTTGCTTTGATCCCGCATATTTCTCACCAAAGGCCAAAGGTGACACATGGTATACCTGCATAATCATGAATCCAAGGAAATTATCCGTGGCTTTGCACTTATCGTCTACATCTGGGTATTTCGGGTGGATTAGTGGTCCAATACTCACACCTTTTACATGGGAAAATGGACCAACCAGCAATACATACTTCACATTGGATCCCGGGCTCACAGTCGAGGGAAATCATGATCAACCAGTGGATTTGGGGATATGTTCAGGTCCAAAGCGATATAATATCATGTTGTTTATCAAAAACTATGTCCAGATTACATCCCCATTCTGGCAGTGTTTTGAGCGATTATACCCCTTTTTCAAAATATCACAGCATCGATTTGCATCTCATTGTTTGGGGACAAACAGAAGCCCAAATCCCAGTTTGTTCATCCACATCACATCCCATTATATATATATACACATTATATCCCCATTGAGATCTTGTAAAATCCCTTAAACCCCTCAACGTTTTGTGCCACCAGCCATCAACATTCCACAGAACATGCCCCTTGGATCTGCCGTAGGTCGGTGGCATGGAGAAGTTGACTACGACTACGAGGTGCTTGAGAGACGAAATTGGCCGAGCCTTGCTTTTTGGGTACATTGGATGGTTGCCTTCTGCAGCAGCTGACAGGTGGTCAACATCCCGCTCTTTATAGGGTTTCAACCATCCTTTTGGTGCAGGATTTCGCAAGCATCCACAGTGGTAATAGAGTAGTATAGATTATAGATCCTGAGACCCTCCGCTAATCAAGCATGGCTAGCTGGAAAATCGCCTGTACATGAAGGTGTGAATGAGAAAAAACATCTATAAATGGGGGATTTTCCATTGCCATGTTAAATTCCCAGATGGTAAAATTAATAATCATCAACATATTAATCATTAGATACTTAGTATACCCGTTAGGTAGCCTCATAATGTTGGAGGATTGGGTAGAGTTGATGTAGGCGAGGAGTTTCCCCATGAATGATTCCCCTCTAGTGCCTTGAATATACCCCCAAAAAGATGTTGGAGAAGCATGAGTTGGAGGGTCGCAGTTTGTATTTGGCTACTAATTGAGGTTGTAACCTACCTATAAATGAGAGAACCCTAGGAATCAGGGACTTACAATCGCCGATGGCAACCTCTTGCCGCGACCTCGGCGTCGCGACATCTTCGCGACAGATGACCATCGGCGAACGGATGGTGCATCAATTCTGGTTGGAGCCAGGAGTCTCAGGTTTTTGGATACCAAGGGATACCAAGGTGCCAGGCTCGGCTCGTCATTTGTGTTTTTTTTATGTGTTTAAAGGTCATGTCAATTAATGGGAGATGCCAATCAAGAATTAGACTTCTAAAAAACTGTATTATACTGATACTATCTAGAATATTAAATTAGGAAAGATCGGACTTGTGGGAAGTCCCAGTTGCTCCGCACTGGGTTTCAGTTTGATGGTTGGTTTGACATTGGGAAGATGCTGGTATTTCCCATTTTTTCTTGTGGGTTGCTTACCACTTCCTGCCAAAGATAGTTCGCCATGACCCCTTGGGGCCGCCGAGGTACCGTGCGGCTGAGGAGATCTTTGATCTGTGCCTTCGGGCTTTGCACATGGCTGGAGCCCAGGTATCAGGTGGATATTTCTACAGCTTCTGCATTTCTATTAGGGTCAAAAGATGGTATGAAGGGATGTTCATGTAGCCGTGACTTCCAAGAAAGTGTGAGAAAACGGTGGGGAATGATATGTTTACCCAAGAAGAGCGATACCCCTAAGCAGTGTAATGTCATCATATGTTGTCATTGCCACAGCCGCGCACTTTCAAGCCCAAAATGGCGCCAATCCTAAATCTGCTGAGATCTTTGGGTTTGAGATCTGAAAGTAGAATTCATCAAAGACATGACATCTGACATACAAGATAAATAAAACAAACATAATATATATATATGTATATGTATGCATAATATGTATATATGTAAATATATATATATATATAATATGTATATATTAATATATATGTCTATCATCTATATGATATTTATATTTCTAACCTCATTGAAGCCCATTCAAAGTAGCACCGTCCCATCCCGGGACCCAGGCCTTGACGGCCTTGCGCGATGCCGGCCGTCTCGAATCGGCCAGCGAGCGCGGTGCGTTTGCCTCGTTGGGGCCCTCAGGCGGGGCCCTGGGGGAGACTTTCCAGCAGCGCGGTGGTGACTGGAACCATGGAATATAACTATGAATGGTTAATGATGGTTATAATGATGGATAATGATGGATAATGAATGGTTAATGATGGTTATAATGATGGATAATGATGGATAATGATGGTTAATGATGGTTATAATGATGGATAATGATGGATAATGATGGTTAATGATGGTTATAATGATGGATAATGATGGATAATGATGGTTATATAATGATGGTTAATGATGGTTATATAATGATGGTTAATGATGGTTATATAATGATGGATAATGATGGTTATATAATGATGGATAATGATGGTTAATGATGATTACATCATTTGATTGGTGGTTGACTGGAACCATGGAATGGATTGAATGGATATGACTTTCCATATATTGGGAATGTCATCATCCCAACTGACGAACTCATATTTTTCAGAGGAGTTGAAACCACCAGCCAGATGATTACTATACTGCTTGGTGGTTCGATTGTTCTTTTTTTCAGATTTTGAGATTATATAAATGATCATCTATATAATTAATCATATAATGATGTGGTTAAAACAATAATAGACCACCCATGACTGGGAATGGTAACCATAGCACCTATAAAAATGGTGATGACTGGGGGATGGTTTATGACATTTTACCCACAGTATATATAACAATGCGTCTCTTATGATGTTCTTTCCTGTTTTTGTTCCATGTTCCATAGCTGGGATGATCCCAATTGAGTAAGAGGCTACTGCCACTCTGAAAAACATGTCCTGACAAACAGGGATGCAGGGATTTATTTTCCCCATTAGAAAACAACAACAACAACAACAGCAACAGCAACAGCAACAGCAACAGCAGCAGCAGCAGAAGCAGCAGCAACAGCAACATCAACAGCAACAGCAACAGCAACAGCAACAGCAACAGCAACAACAACAACAACAACAACAACCACCAGAACATAAATATATGTATATATATAATATAAATCCATTGTTTTGGCGAATTTCTTAGGGTCCAACGGTCGAACCTCGTGACAGAGTTGCTTCATGCCCATCCCATCCTGGCGTCCGTTTGCGGCGTTTCCGTCAAGGTCCATGGTGGCTCTCTACGAATTGGCCAACATCCGAACTGTGGACGAAGGTTTACTGAGGCCCTGAGGGACAGTTGTGTTTTGTCTCAGTGGCAGCTGGTTGATTTTTGGTGACTTCGCATGGAACCAGAATTTCGGATCTGAAAGAAGATTTTCCACACTTCTGGCCATTCTGGAGTTTCGGATTCAATTCAGGGTGTGTAGAAGGGTGATAATTCACGGTTACCCACCGGCTACGAATTGGCGCTAAGATTTACAGCCAGCTGTTTCCATAGATCACTGGATGGTCAGTGATAGCCCCAACAGATACAAACCTATGTTTGGTGGGAGGACCGTGGCCCCAACACAAGGTGTTTTGACTACACCGCCCGCGGGATTCTCACAAGCTGATCCTTGCCATTTTTCATTGCAGTTCAAAAGGCCTTGCTACTACAAGGTGGTGACCCGCAGGTTTAAGTTGATTTATAAACCCATCAGAACCCATCTATGTATGGATATATCTACCAGAATCTAGCATCAATCCACCTGGTAGGCTGTTTCACCCGTTTCACCCAGTCATACCCTGTCACATCACGGCATCACGTCACCCGCAGGTGGCTTTCACAAGGACTCTTCCATGGCAAATCTGTTGCAGAGCAGGGCGTCTCGAGTTCACTCCGATGACCAGTTTTTGGTCCTGATGGTTGGAGGTTTTGCCCCCAGGAAATGGAACTTTAGCCGCTTAGCCAAGTCTGAAAATCTGTATCGATTTTCCATTTGGAAGCGATACTTGAATCAGCTTGAATCTGAATGGATGAAAATCGGCACATCCAAGAAGCTTTTTTGAAACCAAGAACTCTGAAGCTAGAATCAAAAAGTGGACGGGAGTTGAAGCTCCGCAAGTAGCCACAAAACGTTGGCTGTACCCTTAAATCTCAATGTTTACCAGGGTTGCTGCAAGCTATTGTGGACAAATCATGGCCACAAAAGAGGAGAATTGGCCTTGTTTTACCTCTGTATATTGGCACAATTCCCCTGTGGCCATGGGGTGTTGGGAGCAATCCTGTTTGCCAACAAATTTGCTGCTTTCCCTCTGCTAGTCAAACGTGGTATATATTGTAAAATCCACCATTTAGTTCGAGGATTTTCCCAGCTATAAACCTCAAATTAAAGTAGATTTCCCAGACACTAGAGGATTAACATGGATTAACATTCATGTCCCCATGGTAATCCCCATTGTTGACACTTAAATCCGAAAAGAAAAAACCCAAGCAAATCCCATAATCAATGGTCAAATCCCCTATTGATCAATAGGTTATCCCGAAATGGTGAAACACATTGAAAAATCCTATTGATCAATATAGTTAAATCATGGTTTAATTCAAGCAAATGCCTTTTTTTCAACGGCAAAATGCCATACAAAATCCCTATAAATATAAATTTTATAAATCCCCAAATATCCTCATCAAATCCCATCAAATCCCATTAAATCCCATTAAATTCCATTAAATCCCATCAAATCCCATTAAATCCCATTAAATCCCCAAAGAAATCCCATGTTTTAACGCTGAACCGACCTCCCAAACCCCGAGGTTTGGCGCGCTGAACGGCGCCTCCTCCGCTTGGCTCAACAGCAGTGGGGCCAACATCAACGCCTTTGCCTTCGATGGGGCCGGGGGAACCCGGGGAAATCTCGTGGCTTTTCACCAAGGAAGATGGGGATTTTATCCGGGGATCAAAAAGGGGATCTATTGCAAAACGTCTGATTTGTCAACGAAAGTTAGTGAATAACCATAAATAACCCGAGGAAGCCCGAAATTGATCATTTGCAATACCCACAGGATCCATGGTGCTGGTATATATGCTAACATGACTGGGTTTTTTGTTGATGGGATCCATGGCACACCATATATAGCAGCACCATGGATCCGTCATGGGATAGGGAACATGAGGATTAAGTCGTGAATTTTACGGGTAGCCGATTTTCAGACAAACCCTATTTGGGGGAGAAAACTTGGAATCCCCGCTCTTGAGTCATGGCAATGGATTTAATGTATATCTGACCAGAATGTGGATTTAGCAGAAAATAGCAAAAAACATAGATCTATAATATACATTTATATCACATGTGGAAGAGAACGACATCACTAGAAAAAGTGATATTTTTAAAGCAGAAGTTGGAGACTTTCACTAACAATCTAGGGGATTTTTCACCAGCAGAAGTTGGGAATGGAATCAGCAGAACACCGGAGTTCAGCAAGGATCCATAATTTTAGCATGACTTTGAGATGGAGATTTTAACCACATAGTCACAAAATCATGAAAATTACTTAACCATGCAACAAAACAAGGGGTTGACATCAACAAAGGGTTTGCTCTAACTTAACGATCCACGAAATTAGAACAAAATGATCCAAAATGTATTGTATAAGAAGCATCCCAAACTTGGAACAGCATTGATGATGTAGAAGTGATGGAAAAAAGTACTTGGTATGTTTGGTACAAGGTGGTGCCCCCCCAGTTATAAATGGCTAAAATAATCCCAGTAACTACTTCGATATATCACCAACAAAAACATCAATAATATAGTTCGATATATTGAAATATATAGCTATATTATATAATCACCAGTTGAAATATATAGTTCTTGAAAATCCTTGAAATCAGTAAACATCAATATTTATCAAATATATCGTGACATTGGACGTTGAATGGCACCACCATCCATCGCTGCTTCCTGGGAGGTGCGGGACGTGGCAGAGTTAACTCGAGGCCGAGTGGCAGAGAAGGAGCGATGTTCGGATCGGATCGGTGCTGCGTCGGTAGACTTCCGGGGATGGTTGACAGCTTTTTAAAGCATTGATCAATGGATTGGTTTGTTGGGGAAAATCTTAACCGGAAACCATCGATTTTCCCATGAAGATCATGGGGCTTTCCTGTAAATTTTCCCCTAATCCAATCCATTGAATTGAAAACAAACCATCAAAAAGCCATGACATCATGATCTTCCGAACATGATTCCATTGGAGAATGGGGGAAAACCCATCAAAAAACCTATGATTTTCCCACAACGATTCCATTTTTTGTGGGGGAGATACATCCATTTACATCCTTTTTTCAGCATTTTTGATGACCACCCGGGTTGAATGGTGAACTGATGGAATGGCATTCGAAAAAATCCATGTGAACCGTTGAACATGCACTACTTGGTATGAAGGAGTTGGTTGCACACCCGGTTTAGTAGGGACTGTTTCAACATGTTTGCGCCAAACGAGACGTTCGCCCATGCCCAAATCTTACACCGAGTAATTAAAGTATCTGTCACCAGAGGATGAATGAAAACACTATAGCTGTACTCGCAGTGACTTTGACTTTATGCTTCCAGGGTGTGGGGTTTTAGGGTTTTGGCTTTGGGATTTTTCAGGGAGTTTTTTGTTGTGGAATTTTCGGAAAACCAATAGAAACAACACTGGCCCTACACAGGGAATTTTTGCATGTCAAAGGATATGCGGGATCCGCCACGGGCAAACGTCTACTTTGCAGCGAACAGAAACCATAATAAGAATACCTACTATATCTAACCAACCAGTATACTATAATAATATCATGTTCTACGCATTCTCATTTTTTAGAGGTATACAAACTCAGCCCATGTTATTAGAGTGATTAATCATATGTTGCTTAGAATGTGTTTGTTTGTGGGATGTTTTTTTGTTTTGTACCCCTCTGACCCCTGAAAATCAATCATGACTTGCTGAAAATCCCCCATTTACCCTCTGGTAAACTAACATAACTATGGACCACCATTTTGTAAAATGAGTAAATCAACTATTTCTATGATTTCTATGGCAATTTTCCAGTTCGCAAACTGTTAGTCATTACCAGAGGGTAGATGAATTTCGTTCGATGATTTTCCAAAGCCCATGGGTCCCCGGAGGTCTGTTTGAATCCCCGGAAAAAATCAATAGGTTATCCACAAAAAAGGTGAAAAACCCGTTTTTGATCAGTTGAATCATGGTAATTCAAGCAAATTCCTTGTTTTACAATGGTTAAATCCCGATTGATCAATGGTGAAATCCTAAAAACACTCTGGTAGTATGACTAACAGTTTGCGAACTTGAAGCCATGGCCATAGAATTTTCGTTGATTTACCGATTAGAAATGGTGATGTTCCATAGTTCTGTTAGTTTACCAGAGGGTAAATCCTATAAATTCACTGGTTCAAATTCCCCATTTTTCAATGGTCAATTCCTATAAATCCAATCCCTATTAATGGTTCTTTTTTTGTGGGATTCACTGCCATTTTTATCATCCCCAGGTCATCAGCATCTTTGTGGCTTTGAAACCATCCCCGTTGATGGCAGCTATACCCTCTGGTAAACATACAAAAAGCTATTGAAAATGGCCATAGAACTAGTGGATTTTCCCATGAAAAATGGGTGGATTTTCCATAGCTATGTTAAATTACCAGAGGGTCATCAGCTATAAAAATCATCCCCAGGTCATCAGCATAAAAAACTGCTATAAATCATCCCCAGGTCATCAGCTATAAAAATCCCTATTTTTTATGGCTCCCCCGGGCTGAGCCCAGGACTTGTCCTTGCCACTGCATTTGCCTCGAAGCTATGACTGGATCTTGTCCCTGGAGGTGGCGGAACATATCCCGGAGGCGCCGGTGGTTGGCTTTTTTCGTGGGGCACAAGAGTTTTTTTTTTTTTGCGGGGAAACCATAGAAAAACCATAGAAAACCATAGAAAACCATAGGAACCACATAGAAAAACGGAAACCATAGAAAAACCATAGGAACCACATAGAAAAACCATCGGAAAAACATAGGACACACATCGAAAAACCATTTCGGAAACCATGGGAAAACCATAGGAAAACCCATGGGTAAATGGTGATTTAACCAGCAAAGATGGGGATTGTGCAGCTGGGTGGATGGGCGTTTTGGGTGATTCAAATCCCTCATTTGTAGATGATCATCCCTGGAATTGTAAGTGTTTCTTACCCCTGGTCCCTGATTCCTAGGGTCATCTCATTTACAGGTTATAACATGTGGGGATGGGTCAAAACCTTGTACCCTGGTGAACATCAAAATAGCTGGTAAATGGATGTTAATCCCCATGAAGTTGCTATTTATAGGTATTGATCCATAGCCATGTGAAAAAAAAACAGTGACTGACCACAAAGTGTGATCCTCCAACGAATGCTTCTCCAAACATCTTTTTGGGGGTTTATTCAAGGCACGATCGAGGATAATCATTCATAGGGAAACTCCTCACCCACATCAACTCTACCCAATCCCCCAATATTACGAGGATAACTGAGGCGCTCAATATTGGGTATCCTAAGTATCTAATGATACTAGTTAATATTATGATAGTTTATAAATATGAAACGCTCTTGTAATTTCTAGATGATTTTCCTCACTTAGAACCTTCATTTACACGGGATTTACCATCAAGACAACTATGGGAGCTAGCAATTTTTCCTAACCCATCAAACTAAATGGACCATTTTCCATGTGTGAAACTACCGGAGACAGATGGGACACGATGAGACCGCCGGCGCTTACTTGAGACTTCAATAAGCGAACCCCTTAGCTCCAGATGTTGTCGACATTACAGGCTGATACCATGTCTTGACACTTTGATCACAACTTACAAAGTGTTTACTCCAAGTTGGCAATTTCTTATTCATTTTTTGTGGGATACCGATCAAAATGGCGACTTCTTGTATCGCAAACTATTGATTTGAGTCTGGTCACTCTGGTCCTGGAGAAACTGAAACCACCGCGACAGGCGCATTTGCCACATTTCCTAGAGAACATCCGTCGACACTGCCTTGAGGCTCGGAGATCTTCAGTGCGAGCTGTATGCAGTGGTGACTCCATGAGAGCTTCATATTTGTTGGTTTGATCTTGGTTTTCCCCGTGAATTTCTATGTTTTGGTGGTGAGTGACTGATGACATGCAGTTTTTCATCTACTTTCTTATGAGTTAATCCCCAAATTTCCATGGCTTCTCATTCTGCTAGTGAAACATTTCGAATTATGGGTCAAACAGCCCGCCAATGATGCCCCATTCCAACCACTAGTGATTTATATCATCTAACAAAAATCTAACAACCTACCTGCCTATGATCTACCTTCTGGTTATTTAACGTAGCTATGGAGAATCACCATGTGTAATAGATAAATCATGATAAATCATGATAAATCATCGAACTACATGGGCCATGTTCATCCATTTTCCATAGCCATGTTAAATAACATTAAATGGTAATATTTTCACTACCATATGATGTTAAACTATATATTAAACTACTATATTTTTTCTAAATACAATATTTTTAGCTGCCATATGTTAAACTACCATATTTTTTTCACGACCGTAGTATCATGGGAGATACTTAGGATACCTATGATTTACCTTCTGGTAAACTAACATAGCTTTTGAAAATTGCCATAGAAATAGTGAGCTTTCCAATTAAAAAATGTGATTTTCCATAGTTATGTAACAGTTTACCAGAGGGTAAATCCTATAAATTCACTGGTTCAATTTCCCCATTTTTTTAAATGGTCAATTCCTATAAATCCATATAGAAATCCCTATGAATGTTCCATTCTTCTGCACATGTCATTACCAGGGCGCAGTCATCTCTTGGTCGCGCTGCGGTACTGGTGGTGAGCACCACGTGAGCTGTCGCAGTCCAGAGGTGAGGAATTGGGGGTTTAAACTGTCCAAAACTTGGAGGTTTAACCATGTTTAACATTGTTTAACCATGTTTTTTTATGGGGAGCAATCAGCATTTTTTGAGTTTCCCAGCACATGATAGTTACTGCAAGCACCAGATATCACCAGATTTGGAACATGTCTTTGATGATTTGAATGTATTCGAATGGAATTCAAGCTTGAACCATCACAATCGGAGGTTCAAGCATCAGACTCGGGGGTTTTAACGAGAGAACATTTTGGACTTGCCATGATATAGCACAATTTAACCATCAAAGATTGTGGGGTGTTTGAGGGATTGCCTGTTTTCAATTTAAAATGGCATTCACCAACCCTCAGAAGGTGATAGATTGGTGGTGAAGGGTACAGAGTTCTCATCCAAGAATGATTGTTTCGAATGTTTTTGATATTTGGCAGCAAGACTCAGTGAGCATCTCCGTTCGAAGCCAACAAACGAGTATTCTCCAGTGTATTTCATGAAGCATGTTGTTCAACAAGTACCAATAAATAAAAACGATGCTGTTGAGGTGTCAGTAGGGTTGATGGTCTGACCAGGGATATCATATTTTTATATATTTTTCAGCATCTGACCATAAGTTTCTTCCCGTTTCCAGGAGTCCTTCAGGCTTACCAAACCTTGTTGACTATCCAGATAAGGAATGCACAATATTTTTCTGAAATGGACCAGGCATGACCAGTGGCTTCCATGTTTTGAATCCGCAGAAGACATTGGCATCTTATCCACCTTGTTTGTTGGTTAGACGCGTCCCATTCTTCTGGATTCTGCCATCTCATCAGAAAAAAAACCACAAAGTTTGGTGTGTCTAAAACTGTGGAAAATACACGTAAATAGCCTCAGAGAATGTCTAAACTTTGGGGAAGACCCCACATCTCTGCCAGGAAGCAAGGGCTCTCTTGGCGGCCTACGGCCAGGGCCCTCTGGTGGAACTGGAGAATCACCGGAGGTTTTCACAGGCATCTATAAATTGGCCTTGTCCATAGCTTTCCATATGTTAGGAGTTGCCAGAGGGTGGGTTTTAACATGTTCGCATGTTTTAACATGTTTTAACATGTTTTAACTACACACGATGTTTCAATGACCCATGACGGATCCATAGGATCCTAACGGTGCTGCTATATATGGTGTGCCATGGCTCCCATCAACAAAAACCCCATTGATGTTAGCAGCCATTTCTCCCGTACGCACCAGCCGGATCCAGGCCTTGTGGCTGATCTGGAGGCCTCAGCAACTGCACAGGCCGTCGTTTCGTCAAAAAAACGTGCTTGGAGTATGACCGAATCGAACCGCCAACATGTTGATTTCAGCACGAAATTCAGCACGTTCATTGAACTGCAAGAGACTTGTGTTACCCTCTGGTAAACATACAAAAAGCTATTGAAAATTGCCATTTAAATTGGATTTTCCCATGAAAAATGGTGATTTTCCATAGCTATGTTAGTTTACCAGAGGCTATCTTGTGTTGCCGCGAATTAGTCTCAGGCTGCCTCCACGGTCTTCTGGATTTCGCGCACCGTGCAGGCTGTCTTCGGTCATGGGTGATGTATCAAGAAGTGGTTGATGCGGCAAGATTTTTTGGCATTTCAGATTTGAAATTCAGATCCCCAAGTTGAATTTATATATGTATATATGTAGTTGATGTATGTTGATGTGCCCAAGAATAGGACATGAAACCGCAAAAATCTGGTCAGTTTGCACTACCCTCTGGTAAACGTTTACATAACTGTGGAAAATCACCATGCTATTAATGGGTAAATCAACGAACTAAATTATCATTTTCAATAGCGAACTGTTAAATTACCAGAGGGTTTGCACTAAATATTTATATATTGATAAAATTAACATATTACCATGGTGGGTAGTTTTAATTACTATTTTATTACTATTGAACATAGCATTCAAATTCAATAGCTAACCAACGTAAGTCAAAGAGTTTGAACCAATCTTCGGTTTCGCTGTTAGCAAAGTGAGATGTTGGAGATCGTTTGAGGATTTCCATAGTCATGGGTGTACCCCAATAGCTGGCTTGATTTTTAATGGAAAATCCATGAAATCACATCTCAAAAAATGGGATGGATTTTGGGGTTCAGCTTTTTTTAGGAAATCCATGGAAAGCCGCAAATTTCACCTTGATCGACACTCCAGCCATGAAGGTCTATCGAGTTCCAACATTTGTGTCAAACTCAGCCGAGAGATGGTGTCGACGAATGGCCAAGGTAGTCGAGTAGCCATGGCTGATATCAAGGCCATCCGGTTAAGAAAACAAGTAGTGGATGTTAATGAATGTTACATGTTTCTACATGTTTCTACATGTTTCTACTATATATATAATATATATTCATAGTTTGTATATAATATTTTCAGGAAGGCTTCGGTTCGTTTAGGTTCGTTTCGGTTCGTGGAAACCTCAAATAGGGGCGGTTCGGTTCATCAGCAGGCCGGTTCGTTTCGGTTCGCGTGACATGGCGGTTCGGTTCGGTTCGGTTCGTGTGACATGGCGGTTCGGTTCGGTTCGTGTTGTGTAGTGTTGCAGGACGAGAGGTCTTTGACAGAATGGGTGTGGATGAATAGCAAATAGTAATGTTATGTTGCAGCAGAGGGATTTGGTTTTTGAATGTTTGAAACTGGTGGTGGGGCCGAGTGTTTGCAGCATCTAAGTAAGCAGTGTCCAAAACCACGGTTTTTTGATGACTAAATTGCGTATGCTGTTTCTTGGATTGGGGGTAATGATTATCATCATCAACTATTAGAATTCGTACATCTAACCAGTGTACAGTGAAATTGACAGATCCATTGCCAACGGCATTTTCATTTTGCGAAAATCACTTTCAGCTGTCGAAACCCAGTCGTGGCCGGCAGAGGTTAAATCAGCAGCCAAATGCCATTTTCATATGGCGAAAGTCGTTTTCAGGCATCGAAATTGAGGCAGTGCCTGCAAAACCCAAACATTAGCCAAACATCATTTTCATTGTGCGAAAATCAGTTTCGGAGTTGTTTTGGCAAAAAGTGGAAAAAAGTTGTAGTAGCAGTAGTAGTAGTAGTAGTAGCAGTAGCAGTAGCAGTAGCAGTAGCAGTAGCAGCAAGATAAGTAGAATTAGTACTAATAGCAGTAAAGAAGTAATACTAGTTCTAGTAAGACTACGAGTAAGAAAAATAGTAGCCTCTCGTAAGCGGTTCCCCAGCAGGTATGGGTCCCGACCGGGCTTCGCCGGACAGGACCGGGCAGAGAGGCTGGTAATAGAGGTAGCAATATAATATACAACAGTAGGGGTGGTGATAGCAACAGTAATAGTAATAGTAGCAGCAGTAGTAATCTAGCCGTACTAGGACGAATACTATGAGATGTTTTCCTTAACTTGATTTTCACTGCGCGAAAATAATTTTCGGAGTTGTTTTTTCAAAAAGTGGAAGAAAAGTAGTAGTAGTAGTAGTAGTCGTCGTCGTCGTAGTAGTAGTAGTAGCAGTAGCAGTAGCAGTAGCAGTAGCAGTAGCAGCAAGATAAGTAGAATTAGTAATAATAGCAGTAAAGAAGTAATACTAGTTCTAGTAAGACTACGAGTAAGAAAAATAGTAGCCTCTCGTAAGCGGTTCCCCAGCAGGTATGGGTCCCGACCGGGCTTTGCCGAACAGGAACGGGCAGAGAGGCTAGTAATAGAGGTAGTAATATAATATACAACAGTAGTGCTGGTGATGGCAACAGTAATAGTAATAGCAACAGTTCTTAGTAGCAGTAGTAGCAGTAGTAGCAGTAGTTTCAGTAGTAGCAGTAGTAGCAGTAGTAGCAGCCAGCACTGATCATTTGCAATTCCTGCAGCACTTTGGCAGATTATGTTGCGCAGGAATCCATTCATTACAGTTGATTCCTCTTTCCAATTTGATTTTCAATTCGCGAAAATCATTTTCGGAACCCCCGGAAGCTGACAAAATAATTTTTTTGAGAATGTGGAACCGGTTCGGTTCCATTCGGTTTGCGTAAGAATAATTGGCGGTTCGGTTCGTGCCCATTCGGTTTGCGTAAGAATAATTGGCGGTTCGGTTCGTGCCGGTTCTTAGCCCGCCGGTTCCTGAACGGTTCGGTTCCCAGTTCACGGTTCGTTTCCTAAGCCATACTGTATTTTTTTCTACTTTTAATCGTCATGTACTTTTTATCTTTTGTAAAAACCACTGTCGGGTTGTTCTGGTGCAACCAGGAGCCTGGAGCTGTATTCCTGAAATCATGAGTTTCATGATGGGTGTAGCCAATTTTAGGACACCTCCTCACAAAACTGGTTGGTGGTTTGGAACCATATAATTTTATGCCTTTCCATCCAGTTGGGAATGTCATCATCCCAACTGTCTTTCACTCCATCATTTTTCAGCGGGGTTGAAAAAACCACCAACCAGCATATAGGTATTAACCATCAGTAACCATCATCATAACCATTAATATTAACCATCATCATTAACCAGTAGAGTTTTCCCCCTGTCCATCCCCTGATTTGGAAACGAACTTCAAATCAATGTCCTAAACCATGCATTAATCAATGTTCGGGATCCTTCATGGCCTTGTCAAGAATGTCTTGTGGGGCCCATTTTGTCAATGACCCCAATAAAAAAATGGATGTACCCCAATAGCTGGCTTGATTTCATGGAAAATCCCATTTCAAACTGGGTCGATTATTCTTTGGCTGGGGCGGTTTTCCACCAACCCGAAGCCGGCTTTCGATCAGTTTATCATAGTTTATCTATGCACAAATCTATCCATGGGGATATGGTTCAGGTTTAAACTCCTGGAAACCACCAATTTTATTGGCATTTTGTCCTTAGGCCCCTGCATTTTATTTTATTTTTTTAGGTGCCTCACCCCACCCCCTGGCAAGCTAGGAGGGTCATCTAGCAGAAAATGATTCACTTCATCCAGTATTTGATGACTTGACCAGCATGACCCATGAACCCTCGAAGACGGCGGCAGTGGGGTTTGCGCACCAGACTGAAATTTCGGATGTCAATGTGGAAACCTGACAGTCCCATTTTCTTTTCAGGCCTGGGAAATTACCATGAAATTATATAGCTTGGGTTTCCTAAAATGAGGATAATTAGCCCCCAATCATCCATTTCTGGTCAGTGGTTTGGAACATTTTGTATTTTCCATAATTTATGGGATAATCCTTCCCATTGACTTCCATATTTTTCAAGATGGTTATTGCACCACCAACCAGATTTTAATAGGATTTTCCCTTAATGTCAACCCTGGATTAATAACCCCCAAACGGCTGTTTAATTGGGGGGGTACCATTTATGTATCATATTGTGACTATTTGGAGGGTACCCCCACAATTAATGAACCATGGTTTATTAATCCGGAGTTGACATTATAATATTATACATATATACAGTATATACACTATATATATATATATTCCCATTATATCCCACTATTATTAAATATATGTATTATATAATTATATCATTAGATAAACCATCCAGCTATTGGGGCTCCAACATCTATGGAAGCCTCCCCCTTTGCTCAGGGTGGAGATCGGAGTGTCTCGTCCAAGCTGCCGAAAAGAAGGGCGGCCGGGCGCGATGTGGGGATTTCACCGGCCATTTTTTTCAGGGTTTGGTAAATGTCCCATTTGGGGGATTTTGAACATCACTTTCAAGTATCTGTTGGAGATTATATCTATCCCCAATATTTGGGTGATGTTCAACTAGGACATTTACCAACCCGTGTTTTTTTCAGGATTTCACCATGGATTTCGTCAACCAAAAATTAGACATTCTGAACATTTACTTAAGTGACTGATGATAGTTTAAATATATTCAAATGGCTTATAACTTATAACACACACATATATACTGGTTGGATCTGGTTGGTGGTTTGGAACCATGGAATTTTATGACTTTCCATCCAGTTGGGAATGTCATCATCCCAACTGTCTTTCACTCATATTTTTCAGAGGGGTTGAAAAAACCACCAACCAGCTGGAAGTTATGGTGGGCTTCACTGGTTGACCTCACCCACAAATGCTGGCTCGCAATTGGAATCGTCCCCCAAAATTATCGTAAATCGGGATTGATGTATGTATATATATATGATAATATATATATATATGATAATATATATATATGATAATATATATATATATATATGATAATATATATATATATATTAAATATATATATACTTATATATATACTTATACACACATATATAATATTGAGTATGTGTATGTGTAAATGATATATAAACGACAAACAGTATGGTTTCGGATTTATTATATATGTTGTTTTTGGACATATTGAGGAGATGCAGAAAAAGTGGAGGCGTAACTAATGATGTTGCAAATGTTGCTTGTGGATTGTCGACCTGTTTTGTACTGTAGTGCTGGTGGAATTTACCCTGCATCTTTGAGCGTAGCAATAGTTGAATATCTTGACAACAATTGTTCCATTATTGGGAAATGAAGTAAATGCAGATAATTTGATTGGAAAGCAAACTCTGACAACCAATCATCAAATTTGTTGAAAGACATGTCATACCGTCATACCATTACTATGAATGTTCCATCCTACTTTGCTCAAACAGTAGAAGCCCCGCACGCACATATATATATAGATATACATACACATACATATACATATGCATACATAATATACATACTGTATCATATAAATTATATATATATATACATGGTATAGATTGACATAGTGTGATGTGACCGCTGGGCGCGAAACACTTCATGGAGTGATTCACTGCAGACCTTTTCGACTCCAGCCTGTAGACATCGCCGTTGCGAAATTCGGGCGCGCATGGGGGAGGAGATGGAGATGCCTAGATGTTTGCCCTTTAATCCAGGTGCACTGCGGTTCTCCGAAAACTGGATACCTCCAAATCTGGTGATTTTGACAAAACAGATACATATACATACATATACATACATATGCATACATATACATACATATACATACATATACATACATATACATACATATACATACATATACATACGTATAGATACATAAACATACATATACATACATATACATACATATACATACATATACATACATATACATACATACACACACATATACATACATATAGATACACATAGATACATATACATACATATACATACATATACATACATATATATATACATATACATACATATAGATACATATAGATACATATACGTACATATAGATACATATAGATACATATACATACATATATATATACATATACATACACATACATACATATACATATACATTTACATATACATATATATATATATGTATACACATACATATATATATATATATACATAATGGGGAAAACACTGGTGTCCTGGAGCATGTTCCTTCTATCCAACTCACGGCTGTTTTTCAGCTGTTAAATCCTCATGTCATGGTTTTTCCTATTAATCGGGCGTCGGGAAAAATCAAGCAACAATTATGATACTGTGGGTGGAAGAAATCCTGCACCACCAAACGGATGGTTAAAATCCTATAAATAATGGGATAAACCACCGTTTTCAACTGGTGCAGGATTTCTTCCATCCACAGTAGTAATATTAACAATTATTATTTATAAAGATGATAAAGGGGGAGAAGAATATAATCTACTGATTGTAATTGTAATGAAAAAACCTGACGCCCCGTCTTGTTCTAGAGGCTTGAAACCACCAACTGCTGACACGTATCACTTAGGATAGCCAACGGTGTTGGAGTTTTGAACAACGGATCGACGTTGGTGAACCAACGCCCTGGCCATGTTTGGGTATCGAATTACGTGTTTCATGTTATCCACCAACATGGTCAAACCTGAAGGGTTGGTCGATCTTCCACTGACTTGTCATTTCGATTTTGTCTAAGGTATATAATAACCATCCAAAAGCAGCTTGTATACGTATATCAGCGTATATCAATACAGATATACATAATATATATATACATACATTTAATAGAATATACACATATACGGTATATCATATACGTATATAGACACACACACACAACATACAATCCAGCCAGCCGCCTTTTCATCGATCCCCCCTTGAACTCTCGAAAAAACCAGCCGCCTCTGCTCCAGGTGAAATCAATTGCGCGCTCACCTTGCTGTGTCAAATGATCGGCAACATCATTGCCTTCATTGGTGCAACGTCCATGGTCATGTCAACGCCTTACAAGGACGTGGCCGGGATAGATGAGGCGCTGGCAACCGCGGAAAAAGTGGTTAAATCCATCAACTGGGGAGTTCAGTGGCAATCAGAAGATTTACCATGATTTACCCTCTGGTTATTTAACATAGCCATGGAAAATGGCCCATTTATAGATGGTTCACCTATTAAAAATTGTGATTTTCCATGGCTATGTTAAATAACCAGAGGGTACCATGATTCTACAATCAAAACTTGGGAAAAGTCCGCAGGGGATTTTTCAGCACCCTGGATCAAGTTTTTTGGGGCTTCATGGCTTCACGGAAAAGATCAGCCATGTCTAGTATTAAAATGATTTAAAATGTATTAAATGGGTTTGTAGTGGGTTATGTATCCAATTGTATCCCATATAATTGGAAAATCATCTATTTTTGGGGATATGATATGGTATATAATGGGATATGTAACCATCAATATGATATTTTGATATATATTGTTTTTTTCTGAAAATGGGGGATGAACCCCTAAATAGCAACTCTAAATGGGAAAATTATTATCACCCTGTGGTTTTTGGGGTACCCGATTTTCAGACAATCCCAAATCATCATTTTTTTCGAACCCAAATATGTTGAACCCAAACAACAGGGTTGATGGTGGTTGCAGTAGCAACCCAAGCATTGTGCTGGGGCATGGGGCTACTCAAAGAACTTGTTGATTGACATCAGCTTTGCAGGTAAAGGTCTAAGGAGATACAGTAATGATGAGAATAAGAACTGGTTGGTGGTTTGGAACATTTTATATTTTTCCATATATTGACACTAATCATCCCATTTGACTAATATTTTTCAGAGGGGTGGCTCAACCACCAACCAGAGAAAATGAGATTCTCCACAACCAACGAATGAATGAGATGGGTGTCCAAATCACTCAATCGATAGCAATTACCATGTTTGGAGTGAAGAATATCCATTCACTTACTGGCAATTATGATGCGAAAGCTATCAGAATGTTGCTGTTGAAAGCAACATGTCGATCACCTGAATTGCTCCAAACATGTTCAACACCATTTTACCTCCACTTCAGCTGCCGTTTTAAACAAATGACCCCAGAGCGGGTTCAATGTTGCACTCGAACTGGTGAGGCACAGATGAACATTTTCATCAACGACGTGATCTATTCGAAGATAGTGACCGGGATGTGTGGCACCATGATCTTTGGCAACACCTACTACGCTTCGTGGTGGAACAATTCCAGATGCAGCCCATTGTGCTGGTTTTCTCGTCACCAACATAAAACCCCGTGAAACGGCCCAGTTATGTAAATGTACCAGCACCATGGAGCACATGGGAATCGTTTTCGATTTTCCATCCCTCAAAAAACGGCTACGACACCATAGTGTTTGTTTTTTTTTCCGGAGTACCTACTTGACTTCGAATCCTTAAAAGTAGATGAAGATGGGACATCGTGTGGATTCGTGTGGTAAACTTCTAATTGGGCATGGTTCAATCGGCTCATGTGTTCCAGAATATGGATATGAAGTTTGGGTTTTAAGAGGAGGTTGATCCCCAATTGACTTCCATTTTTTGAGTTGAAACCAGTCAGGCTTGGATGGCTTACAGAATGATGAAAAAGGAGAAAACAACCAACGTGTGCACGCTGCCCTATGGTGTCTTGGCTTTTCCTGTGCGTTCAGTACCGGAGCAAGCCCCTAAGATCTTTCGATATTCGACGGGCAAATTGGCAAGAAAGCTTCAGTGTTGATATCGCTTCTGCAGAGTCTTCCTATAAAATCAAGTCCAGGGCGGAAAGCCCAAAAATGTACCCTCTGGTAATTTAACATAACTATGGGAAATCACCATTTTTCATGGGAAAATCCACTATTTCTATGGCCATGTTCAATAGCTATTTTGACATAACCAGAGGGTAGAGCTTCCAACAGAGGTCTTCGGACCAAGCCACATCATGGGCTCCGAGGTATCAACACCCCGGCTGCCTTTGCCTTTATTTTTGGCGTGATCGCCAAAGCTGCAAAGGAGGCCCTTTCGGCATTTGGCTGCGCCGCCCCCACGAAAATCCCATCCCCAAGCAAAGCAACGCCCCCCACCCAATCTTCGGGGCTCCAAAATACATATATATATATAGAGCAAGTATGATTGAGTACTAAACCACGCTTTCTGGGGTGTATTTAATATTACAGGAGGAACAACTTTCCACCCAATTTGTTTGTCTTGTTTTTCAAGTGGTTGGTGATCATTTTGAGGTGCAAAAAAGTGATCATCTTTTGACCAAACAGCTGGCTAAATCATATTGGTCACCAAAATAACAATAAGTTGGTCAAATAATATTGGTCACTTAATTATTGTTGGTCACTTTATTGTTGGTCACTTAAATCATATTGGTCACATATAGTGACTCTTTTAATCAACAATTATTTGGTTAATTATCCCCGTATAATATATCGCCATCATATCCCATGATAAATTTCCAACCATAAGAATCAGAGATATCATGTTAGATAATGTTAGATAATGTTATGGATAATTAACAGATAGTGGTTTCTAAGCATAAAAGTCATATCCCATACCCTCTGGTAATTTAACATAGCTATTGAAAATTGTGATTTATAGTGAGTTTTCCCATTAAAAATTGAGATTTTCCATAGTTATGTTAGTTTACCAGAGTGTATATACCCAACATACAAGAAACCATGGATGGTTTGCGCCTGTATCACCTCAACTGCCAAGGCCGCCGCTACGGGAATGAGCGTGGAAGAGGGTGTGCTCTATGCCTGGCGTGTGGGCTGTGTGGCCAACCTGGTGAGCGGCTTTATCGCCACCCTGTGGCGTGGCAAAGAACATGCGGAAGATGGGGATACCCTCTGGTAAATAATGCATGTTAATATGCATGTTATCTGGTAAATAATGTAGCATTATTACATTTAGAAGGGATTTTCCATGGCTATGTTAAAGATCAACAGTGTGGATTATGATGGATGAATTGAAGATACCATCTGGTTATTTAACATAGCCATGGAAAATCCCTTCTAAATGGAGGTTTCTAGCTGGGAAAATCATCTATAAATGGGCAATTTTCCATGGCTATGTTGAATTACCAGAGGGGTGATAATAATGGTTGATAATGGCAAATATTGGCAAATAATGGTTGATAATAGTTAATAATGGTCAATAATGGTTAATATTGGTTTATGATAATGGTTGATAATGGATAAACCAACAGTTTGTCATTGAAAATGGCCCATGCCATTTATTGTTGATGAACTATTATGTAAAGATGGTGATTTTCCAGTTCGCAAAGCGGTGAGTTTACCAGGCCGGGTATCCATCCGAAAACTCATGGAACGCTGGGAACTGGGAAATCCCTAACCAAATCGATAGAAATGGAGGTTTTTCATGGGAAAACCATCGAAGTGGGGGACTTTCCATTGCCATCCAAGTGATTATGGTCATGGGATGAGATCGGATGATTTTTGGGGTGTTTTTCATGGCTTGGATTGTTCTTACAAAGGTGAATTGACAGGACAATACTATTTTGATGGGGATATTTTATGGGACATAATGACATATGAATGGTATATTGTACTGGTGATTCTAATCAGGCTTGTTACCCATTGTAGGCAGATAGCCACAGGGTAGGAAAATGGTCTAAGTTACCTCTTTATCTACCCAGGAACCCCTTGTATCTGGGACGTTGGGAGCACCCCTGCTAATTAACGGTGATTTGAACAACAAAGCTACGGAGATATAATGCCTGCCATTCAACACGTAATGAGGATATGATGGAATATACAACCAACAATGTGATTAAACTAGGTTGCCCCAAAATTTGATGGTTTACCACAATTGTCCCAATTGGAATTGTCATTTTGGGGTATCTGGGTATTTGCAATTTTCAGATATACACACTATTCACCCACATCTTGTTAGGATGATGGTTGGTAGTGATCCCTTCAAGTTACAGAACCCAAGGAAAATTTTGCGCTACCATCTGGTTAATTAACATAGCCATGAGAAATCACCATTTTTAATGGGAAAATCCAGAGGGTACATAACGGCCAGAAAATGGCAGAATAGGATTTGTTTATTGTTTAGGGCAAGGGTGTATCCCTAAACAAAAATCGATTGTATCATTTTGTATCCCGATATGTTTGATGGTTAAAACTCCGGGATAGTGATGATTAAACCACCATGAACAACTCACTGACCAAGCAGTAAAACCATTATACTTGATTCATTGATTGTTAAATCATGTCAAATCCCATAAAAATTTGTATTTTTAGCGGCTCATATCTTGACACACCATATTAGTTTGACACTTCAAAGCCCTTAAAAAGCCACTAGAATCACTAGAACATCTCCCATTCCTCATGAATTGACCGTGGTTTCGCAGTGCTTCGACAGGTGTGGTTTCGCAGGACCTTTGATCGTGAAGGTGGCTCCTGCGGCCTCGCTGATGGTTGCACTGGCTGGGCTGGGATTTACCTATCTGGGCATTGGACAAATCATCGTGTCCTGGCACGAGTCTCAATTTACGTTTTTTTTTTTTAGTGGGGCGAATCGCGGGGATATGATGGGATTTTTATGGATATCTATATATATATAGAGATATGTATACATATATATAGTATACATATCTATATACACATTACATATTACATATAATTATATACATATATATATATAATATGTAATTAATATGTGTATAGATATTACACATATAGATATTACACATATATGCATATATAGAGCTTATGTGTATATATATATACAGTAACCTATGTATGTATATAAATATCAATATGTATATATATATCTTATATGTATAGTAATTTGGCATACTAGAGGGCGTTCCTTGACCTTGGGGACCCCCCGCAACCACAGGATTCATTCCGGAAGAGATCATTTCTTGCCTTTTCGCCATGGAGCATATGATACGGTGGATGGGCCAGCGAAATCCGAATCACCAGTTGAAAACGGTGATTTATCCCATTATTTATAGGGTTTCAACCATCCGTTTGGTGGTGCAGGATTTCTTCCATCCGCAGTATCATGCAATCTTTTCCATATTTGGACCCAGACAGACGGAAAAGACAGGCATTGATATGTTGTTGGAAGAAATGGCAATTGAAATAGATAACCCAATATCTACAAGGGAACGCCCCTAGCTAAGTTGACTTACAACTAAACACTTGCTTAACTAGGGTATTTATGGGGGGCGAAGCTACAGTCAATATGTTTATAAACCAAGAAACACAACTGGGGACCCTCACCTTGTAATGTGGTAACCCCCAAAAAACACCCCAATTTGACCACAATTGATTTACATAAATCATCCATTGTAGGTGTACGGCATTGGGTTCTTCTACATGATATACAGTAAATTCAACATAATTCCTGAGGACGTCATCGTTTCTTAGCCTCTTAGCCTTAGATCAGGTTTGGGAGTTAGCAGAGCCAAATAATCCATTCCCTCTAATACCAAAAAACCGCCCCAAAAAAAGGTCTAGCAGGGAATTTACATGAATTTACACATATTTGGGACCATTTAGGGCCAGGTTAAATATTAATCGGATGGGATTAGTTGTTTGTGAGGCCTTGCAGGCGGCCGCTAGCCTAACTTCAGGCCTAACTTCAAGGATCATCCCAATGGGGAGAGGGATCAAAAAAAAACAAATAGGGATCAAAAAAAAACAAGTTTGAAACTAAAGGAGGAGAAGGAAGGAAGGAAGGAAGGAAGGAAGGAAGGAAGGAAGGAAGGAAGGAAGGAAGGAAGGAAGGAAGGAAGGGTGTCGGATAAAAAAAAAATAGGGATCAAAAAAATCTTCCTTCCTTCCTTCCTTCCTTAGGGATCTTCCTTCCTTCCTTCTTCCTAAAGGAGGAGAAGGAAGGAAGGAAGGAAGGAAGGAAGAAAGACAGAAAGAAAGAAAGAAAGACAGAAAGAAAGAAAGACAGACAGAAAGAAAGAAAGAAAGAAGTAACCTTCTCTTGAAAAATGAAAGGAAAGCTTCCTTCTCTTGACCCCCCCACCGGCTTTTATTTTTTAGCCGGCTCCCCTTGCTACCTACTATTCTTTTTTTTCCCAAGCATCATCGTTGTTTATTTGGGTTCATTTTATCTTTATTGATATCCATCGAGATTTGTGCCTATGTACTTCTTTCTTGGTACGCATTGCCGGGGGAGGCGCTGCGCCCTCCCCCCTGCAACCCCCCACCCGCTTTTATTTCTTAATTGACTTCCCTTGCTACCTGCTCTCTTTCATTTTTTTCATAGGTATCGTTTCTTTGGGTTCATCTTCTCTTTCTTAATCTTTATTTATATCCATCGAGGCTTGAGCCTGTGTGCTTCTTTCTTGGTACGCATTGCGGGGGGAGGCGCTGCGCCCTCCCCCCTGCACCCCCCCACCCGCTTTTATTTTTTAATCGACTTCCCTTGCTACCTACTCTCTTTCTTTTTTTTCATATGTATCGTTTCTTTGGGTTCATCTTCTCTTTCTTAATCTTTATTTATATCCATCGAGACTTGAGCCTGTGTGCTTCTTTCTTGGTACGCATTGCGGGGGGAGGCGCTGCGCCCTCCTCTCTGCACCCCCCCACCCGCTTTTATTTTTTCATCAGCTTCCCTTGCTACCTACTCTATTTCTTTTTTTTTCGCAAGCATCGTTTATTTGGGTTTATTTTTTATATAATCAATATGTTCATTCTTGCTGCTGCTGCTGCTGCTACTACTACTGCTACTGCTACTGCTACTGCTACTAATACTACTACCACTACTACTACTAGTACCATTACTACTCCTACTACTACTACTACTGCTACTACTGCTACTACTACTACTACCACCATTACTACTCCTACTACTACTACCACCACCACCATTACTACTACTACTACTACTACTACTACTACTACTACTACTACCAGTACTACTACCATTACTACTACTAGTACCATTACTACTACTAGTACCATTACTACTACTACTACTACTGCTACTACTGCTACTACTGCTACTATGACTACGACTACGACTACGCCTACGACTACTATTACTACTACTGCTGCTACTACTACTACTAGTACTACTAGTACTAGTACTACTACTACTACTACTACTTCTACTACTTCTACTACTTCTACTACAACTACATTTTGTGTTTTTTTTGATCCTTATTTGTTTTTTTTGATCCCTTATTTTTTGTTTTTTTTGTTGATCCTTATTTGTTCCCCACCTGCCAGGTGAGGGTTGTTAGATTTTATGTCAGTTGCCTCCTCGTCCTCCTCCTCCTTCTCCTCCTCCTCCTTCTCCTCCTCGTCCTCCGCCTCCTCCTGCCTCGTCCTCCTCTCCTCCTCCTCGTCCTCCTCGTCGTCCTCGTCGTCCTCGTCGTCCTTGCTCAACTGCGACCCGCGATCCACAGTGTTCTCTGCCGGACCTCAACCGCGACCATCCACGCCCAGTGTTCCCTGCCGGACCTCAACCACGACCATCCACGCCCAATGTTCCCTGCCGGACCTCAACCGCGAGTATCCACGCCAAGTGTTCCCTGCCGGACCTCATGTAGGAAGATATGGGACAAAGAATGTGCAGAAGAAAGTTAGAAAGAATGTCAGAAAGAATGTCAGAAGATATGCCAGAAGATATGCCAGCTAGAATGCCAGAAGATATGCCAGATAAAGTGCCAGAATGTTTGCCAGATAGAATGCCAGCAGATTTGCCAGATAATATGCCAGAAGATATGCTAGATAGAATGCCAGATGGAATGCCAGAAAATTTGCCAGATAATATGCCAGAAGATATGCCAGATAGAATGCCAGATGGAATGCCAGAAGATATGCCAGAACATATGCCAGAAGATATGCCAGAAGATATGCCAGAACATCTGCCAGAAGATATGCCAGAACATCTGCCAGAAGATATGCCAGGTAGAATGCCAGAAGATATGCCAGATAGAATGCCAGATCGAATGCCAGAAAATATGTCAAATAGAATGCCAGAAGATTTGCCAGTAACAAAATGTATAAATGTCATGGTGGGGATCACACGAAGTAAAGTATTTTTTTTTTTGATCCTCTAGCCATCCCAATGTGTAAGTGATCCCGTGGGTCGAGGAACTGTCACAGTTTTGCGAATCGCAAGTGATATATCTAGTCCCATACAGATGATCTTCGTTCATCTTCTATATGAAATGTGTGTGTATATATATACATAATATATATATAATATATACATAATATATATATATATATACATAATATATGTATATATACATAATATATATATACATAATATATATATACATAATATATATATATACAAAATATATATACAACATATAATAATATATATATATATACATAATATATATACATAATATATACATATATACATAATATATGTATATATACATAATATATATATACATAATATATATACATTATATATATATATACATAATATATATATATACATAATATATGTATATATCATAATATATATATACATAATATATATATATATACATAATATATGTATATATCATAATATATATATATATACATAATATATATATTATATATAAATAATATATATATATACATAATATATATATACATAATATATATATATATACATAATATATATATATATACATAATATATATATATACATAATATATATATATACATAATATATGTATATATCATAATATATATATACATAATATATATATATACATAATATATGTATATATCATAATATATACATAATATATATATAAATAATATATATATACATAATATATATATACACATAATATATATATATACATAATATATATATATACATAATATATATATACACATAATTTATATATACATAATATATATATATACATAATATATATATATATACATAATATATGTATATATCATAATATATATATACATAATATATATATATACATAATATATGTATATATCATAATATATACATAATATATATATATAAATAATATATATATATATACATAATATATATATACACATAATATATACATAATATATATATATAAATAATATATATATATACATAATATATATATACACATAATTTATATATACATAATATAAATATATACATAATATATATATATACATTATATATATAATGGTCTTTCCATGTCATTCTCTACAGATGATCATTTCATTTCTTGCAGCTTGGCCAATTTATGTTTTGGTGTTTCCCTTGGATCCCACAGAGATTCCGAGGCCTGTTTCGAAGTGGGCCACCTTGGTCTGTTGCCACTGGGGGTTGCCTTGATCACTTTCTTTGGTGATGTGAAGACCTCTCCACTTCCAGCGCCTTGAAGCCTTGAAAGCCTTGAAAGCCTTGAAGGATGGTCAAAGCCATGATCAATGATAGCCACTTTGGGAATGAGTCATTTGTATCTCTACCATTTGGCTATGACTAACAGTTTGCCATGGTATAGATGGCCCATTTATAGAGGTTTACCTATTAAAAATTGTGATTTTCCATGGCTGTGTTAAGTAACCAGATGGTACCCAACGCGGCGCAAAGTAACAGCTTACCATGGAACATGGCCCATAAAAATAGATGATGTATCTATGAGAAGATGGTGATTGTCCATCGCTTTGCCAATGTTTACCAGAGGGGAATCGTTAGACACCGCCCCAGTGGCCAAACCCTGCAATGAGGTACTCTTTTGAGGGAATTTTCTGCAGGACTCAAATCGCAAGCTAGCCAACCAGCTGCAGGATTTCTATTCTCATCTTGATATATCTTAATCTTGTCCAAGCCTGTTTCGCGACCTCGAGTTTTAGCGCAGACATTGGTTCCCAACAAACGAATTTTCAGACGATGATCCCACCAAAGAGCGAATCACATTTTTTGGGATGCGTTCTTCAACCAGCAACCAGCAACGAAGGGTGCCAGTTTTGTCCCAAGATGTCAGAACAAATCCCACTGGTTGGTTGATTTTCATGGATATGTTCATGCTGAAATCCCCAATTCAATTATATCCATATTTGTTGGTTATATAAATCCCAAATGGTGTTGGTAAAGTCTAGGGTCAACTGGTAGGAAATTTCATTCTGGTTCTGCCCACTTAGCGACCCAACATCTCTCCTCCTAAAAGGACTGTTTTTTTCACTGGGGATTTGATCCGCCCAACTTCACACTGATGGTGTTTTTTTCAGCTACCCTCTGGCTATGACTAACAGTTTGCCATGGTATAGATGGCCCATAGAAATAGATGGTTTACCGTTCTCAATAGCATGGTGATGGCATCCATGGCGAACTGTTAAAGAATCAGATGCTATGTTTTTTTTGACAAAACCAGGGTTTCTCAGATATTCTCAGATTAGGGTTTCAGGGAGTGTATAATCTTATCGATTTCCTGTTGAAGTTTTCCATAATCCATAAGATGCCATTTCAATCTATTTCAGTGTAATTTAAAAAGTCAGGTTGATGAATATACTCATTATAGCATATATTTATCAACCTGAAATATATTTCAATCTATGAATATATAGTTTTCCATAGTATCATATACTATAATTGCAGTTATTTCAGGTTGATGAATCACTAACAACTTACCGGGTTTGCCTGAGAATAGGGTCCTATATCCATTGGTTCATGATCGTTCCCCTGATTAAAATGGCTATTTTGGGGGTTCATTCCTCATTTTCAGACACAAGATACACTATTGATGTTTTACAGATCTCATTATATGCCATATCATAGCCCTACTTATACAGTTTCAAGTTATATATAGATGTTTTTTTTCTCCGATTATTTATATAGATTGATTACTACAAACCCCTTTCGGGGTCCCAGAAAGGATGCCACAAATTCTTTCTAGGATGGTTTGTTGATGTTTTTTTCCGATCACCAGGTTTCCAGCTGTGGGTATGACTGCGGCCTCCCAATTTTGTGTTATTTTATAAACACCCTGAACTATAGTTCTATCCCCCATAAACATCCCGTAAAAACCATAGAATTCACCATGGAATTCACCAAGTGTGCGTCAACATTTGCCAACCTGCCAAGGCCGCTGTGATGGTCATGGTCGTTGGAAGTCTAACAGGTTGGCTTTCCTTTGAGGGCTGGCCGGAAGGCGACCCGTTCCCATCAGGCAGAAATTCGCACCGGTGATGGCCAGGATTTTGAGTTACCCCATGGATTTGGAGAAGTTAACATGTTGTTTTAATGCCTTGTAAGTGGTTAAGCTTAGAAGTCAATTTGGTCATGTTTTAGTTTTAATTGTTGTAAAGCCAATTCGTCGTAGCAGTGAGTTCACTTAGAATCGCAATCATTGTAAACACATTTTTGTACAGTAAACATAGTGAAGTAATGTATTGATTGTTCTATTGAAATATATATATATATAATGTATAGTTTCATCAGATACAGTAACCAGTGCTTTTTTATCAGCTTTAGAGAAAACCCATTTGTTTTTCTTCCAAGCTCGTCCAGGTGGAACGCCCGAGGCCGTGAAGGAATCCTTCAGCCACTTTAGTTTTTCGGGAGACGTTTCAGCTGGATATTTTCTGTGTTTTCATTCCACAAATCCTCAAGATTTAAGGTGATTTTGGATGATTTGAGAGGATTTGAGGTGATTTTTCATTGTTTGATGTTCATTTTCCCCAAGATTTGTTGGGTTCTCGGTGCTCTTTATCCCCTAGGAATGTTAGGAAATGTGGCGATCCCGTGTAATTTTCATTGAGAGCCAACTTAGCCAACCCATTTTCATTCTTGTTTTATATCACTGGCTCAGTCATTCAATAGTGTATCCATATTTTTCACAATTAGTTGCTGTTGGTGCCTCGAAATACCGCCGTAGACTGATTTAGGCTTATATATCCCTTTTTTTGTGGGTTATGAGTTGTATCCCCAGTTACTAATCTTGTACTGGTAGGCTTTATGCCACATTTTCAGACACATCCAGCTACTGTATCATATCATCGGTTAGATCATATATCATCATATATCCTACATATGATGATATTCAATGAGGAGCATGTGTTTTTTTTGGTTCCCAAGCATGTTCTGAGAAAACTCATATTTTCAGCCACAGAAATCCAGGTTTTTATTTTCCATCCGTGCTTGGTCCGGATTCCTTCAAAGTCATCCCTGCGGTCCTGATGAAGAACCTCGCGGTGACGGATCCCCGTGGTTAAACGGTGGAAACGGAAACCCAGATTTTGGTTCCAAAATGTCGAATCTGTGGCCATTTTGTGGTGGAAAAAATTGATGAAAACTGAGGAATTTTGGGGTACCTCAGACTCAGACAAAGACTTCTTTCACTGTGATTTTTTGTCAGAGCTGGTAGATTATGCTGTGCTGAATCCCATGGTCCGAAGCATTGGATCTTTTTAAGGATCCAATTGAAGATGGAGAAACACACATTGGGGGGTTCATTCAACTTTCCTGAAAGAATTCCTGGTTCCTGGCAGTTCCTGGTTAGCAATTTATGCCATGTTCAACCCCTTGTTCAACAATCATGGCATTTTTGTTGCAATCTGTTCTACTCGAGCATGAGGCCAGTTGGCCACTGCTTGCTGGTTTCTTTGTCTCTGAATTGATCCTGAAAGCTGAATGTCTACGATGCATACGGGTACTGGGTTCAATAGCCTGGGAGATTGCACGCCACCAGCAGCTTAAAATCCCTGGTGAATGTTTGGCTGGGTTTACACTACCCTGAAAACTAGACGACATTGGGATTCATCCATGAAAATCATGAAACTCTGCGGATTTTCCAAAAAAAATCTATAGCATGAAATTGGCACTGCTCATCCGCTTTCAGGTGATCTTGCCGGTGGCTTTTGTTGGAGCAGTGAATACCTTGGTGAGTGTCTATGCGGCCCACTCGGCAGGGGATATGTATCTCTGCAGAGGGGATGGACGATGGTGCAGTTGGGTAAACTTGGAACATGAACCCACGTTGGGCCGCTGAGAACTGAGAACGGTTTTTGTTAGTTGGGGTAGCTGTCCCACGTTGGCCGGCTTTTTGGGGTGGCGATTCATGATGTTTCAGCCAGAGCAGAGTTTCTCCAGTTCTTTGTTTGTCAAGTACCGGTACTTGCATTTGTCCAGCCAACATGGAAACACTGCGCTGCCTAAAGTCTGCTGGACCCCAAAACTTCCCAAAAGGATTGAACAGTATTTCAGACATTTTCAGGATGACTTATATTTCATGTTTCCAGACATATGCCAAAATGGCTGGTGTTTTGTCACGTTCACTTAATCTGATTGGTGGTTTGGAACATGAATTTTATTTTTTCCACAATATATGGGATAATCATCCCAACTGACGAATTCATATTTTTCAGAGGGGTAGGTATACCACCAACCAGTGTTATATATACCTGGCTGTGTCACCATCATTTTGGGTAAAAAGAACCCAATTTATAGATGGTTTTTTTCGCTTCAGAGGGGTTGAAACCACCAACCAGTAATGGTTAGTCTCCTCACATCGTCTGGGAGTCCGTCCAAGCATCGTTTCAGGTACCCCATCCGTGAATGTCTCATTGTGGACGGCTTGACCACGGTGGTTGCGGCGCTGTTTGGGTCACCCTTTGGGACCTGTGTTTATTGCGGACATCCACAGTTCAAGCAACAGGTGACATGCTGGGCTTGTCGAAAAAAAATGAAAATCCCCAAAAATCGATGAAAGCTTACCTACTTAGTAGTTAAGCGAATCATATTCCCTCCAAAAATCTATGAAAGCTTAAGCATTTGTAGTTGAGTGAATCATATTCCCTCCAAACATCTAAGAAAGCTTAAGCATTTGTAGTTAAGCGAATCATAGTCCCTCCAAAAATCTATTAAAGCTTGAGCATTT